TAGGAGGCCTTTTCTTCTGGGTGTTTCTTCTGATAATGAACCAAGACAGAGTGCATGTTGGGGCTTGCAAATGAGCAAACGTCACAATCATAAACAACGACGGTGTTAACCGAAGGGTCTTTCTGATTTTCACATTCTGGAGTAAACGTCTTTGAAGGAGTGCTTTTATTAAATGCAGGTGGCAGGCCACCACCACGAGCCACAGGAGTAGACGTCGCCATGCTCTTGGGAGCTGAATTCAGAATCTCCCTCAGTGTCTGGGATTCCGTATTCAGCCCTTCCTGCTGCTCCACGACATAGCTTGAAAATATCATCGCGTTGTTGATCTTAACGGTGGGGTGCATTCTTTGGTAATGCGGCATCAGGCTTCTCACGTTCGGGCTCGTGTATGAACAAAATCGACACCGGTAGATCAGGTCCGAATGATCAAAGTTGAGTACATTCATGGCTTCTGGGTGGTGTTCGCCGTAATGTTGCTGGAGATCTTCAAAGTTGGTGTAATCAATGTAGCATTCCAGGCACCTGTACACCGCACTGTGATCATTGGGGTCCAAGATGTACCTAAAGCTGAACTTAATGTACGGGTGCATTCGCTGATAGTGGGTGCTGACACTACGGGCAGATTTGTTGTTAAAGTCACAGTGTTTGCAATAGTAAAGCCTTCCAGAGTCACCAAAGTCTGTATTCTCATTATTGTGCTCAGTTCCATAGATAGGGGCTTGGGTGTTCAGCAGAGCGGTGTTGGAAACTTGGTGATCTTTCATGTTGGTTGAAGAGCCGTAATAGTCTTCTTCATCTTCAGAAAGGGTGAGCTCTATCTCAGCCCCATTGGTGGCATTGTAATCGTGGGTGACACTTCTGAAGCTGGGCTCCTTCTGGGGCTCACTGGCATCTCTCGCCCAAATCTGCTGGGCCGAGAAGGGAGTGGGAACCTCCATGACTGGGTCTGTTGGCTCTTCTTCCCGGTCCAACTCAACCTCTATCTCCACTTCATTGTCTTCCTCTTCTTCCTCATCATCCTCAACATTGATCACTGCATCTTCCTGCTGTTTGGTTTGGTTAATTTTGCTCTGTAGGTTGCTTGCGATCTCATCAATCCTGGTTCTCTTCTTCACAGGCGATAAATCAAGAGGAAAGTCATTACTGAGCTTCCTAGAGGCCTTAGCTACAAAATTGTT